CACATACACCTAAGGGGGCGGGTTTGAATCCAGCCCGGTCCGCCAAACAACAATGACAGCTGCAACCAAAAAATAGCCAGGCGTTGTCGCAGGCGCCTGTGATCCCAGGTACTTGGGAGACTGAGGCAGGAGACTCGCTTGAGCCCAGGAGTTGGAGGTTGCAGTGAGCTGTGATGCCACAGCACTCTACCCAGGGGACTAGTTTGAGGCTCTGTCTCAAAAAAAAAAAAAAGAAAGTTTTCTAAGTGCTAGCAGTTGTAACCAGTATTCAGGGAGATACAGTATACCAGATACAGGGCAGTATTTACCTAGTGGACACCAGGGGGTAGCAAAATCTCGTTCTTCTAGCTCTGAAGCAGTAATTATAACAAAGCTGGAGAGCCTCGGTGACCGAGGGTCCCATAACCCGTTGTTGGAAAGAGCTCCAACTCCACGGCTCTAACTTTATCAGGAAGATGGTCACTGGGGGTTGCTACCCTAGATTCTTTTGGGGGCGCTATGGAGAAGAGGACTGTTACCATCTCTGAGAAGGATGAACATTTTTTCTCTTCTTTTCCAGACCCAACAGACTGAAGAAAAAGGTGGACTTTAGCGTCCTGAATAGGTGAGAGAAGAGCATGTAACTCTGGCAACCCCCGGGCCTCCTCTCCAGTTGTCCCAACAACTGCCCAGAGGTGCCAGCCTCCCAACTTCAAAGGAACCTCATCCAAGGCAGGACGTTTTCTAAACGTCGCCTCCCAACTGCAGAGGCACATGCTTTCATGCCCCTCTCTGGAGACTATTTGGCTTTCCCATAACCTTTGAAATGCCCATCCTTTGGACGGGCCCACCGTGCTGCAGGCCTCCCGGCTGATGCTCAAAGGTGGGGAAGGCGTCTCCCCCCTGTGCCTATGCTTTCCTTGGCGCTCCTGGGAGCCCCCCCCCAGGCCTTCATTCCCCTTTCAGACGCGATGGAGGATGCTGGGAGTTTGGTCAGACAGACAGAGGGAGGCTCGAACTTTCTTAACTAGTCTCCCCCACCCCCCCACCCCCCCGCTTTGTCCACTGTGTCAGATACCCATCCCTACCGCCTTGAGCCCTAGCGGCCTGGGAGATGCTCTACCGCCAACCAACAAGAAGGGTCTCTAGTACCCAGTATTGAATCCTCTGAGTGGGGACCTGGTGCCTTCTCTCCTCCAGCTAAAGGAGAGCTAGGGGATGTAGAGGGGAAGAAGGGCCACCCAGGAGGGGACTCCCAAAACATCAGCCAAAGTGCACGCCCCACAGGAGGATCTTGATCCAGGGACCCTGCCCCCTCAGCTACGATGTCCACCCGAATCCCAAGCCTTCGCGGTTCACTCCCTAATTCCCCCACACTCCCGCCTTCTCCAGGCAGCACAGAGGAGCCCATTGTCCAAGTCCAGAGGCTCGAGGCCCGAGGAAATGGGAGGGAAAGGAGGACAGGCAAGCCCCGGGGAGGTTGGGGGAATCCCCTGATTTCCCGGCCCTCTGCTGTACCCTGGGCAGGCAGAAGGGCCTGAGGGTCTCTTCTGAACCCCAGATCCCGCCGAAGTCTGGAAACTGAGGGGAGAAGAGGATCCTAGGAGAGTTAGAGACAGGAGGCTTCAGCAGCCGGAAGACTCTAGTCCTAGGCAGGGGACCCCAAGGGAATTCACGCCAGCCCCAGCCTTTATAGTGCCCTTTGCAGAGGCTGAACTGATGCCACTGGGACCGAGGCGACTGCGGGGAAAAAAGGGGTATTCTCGGTGGGGTGGGCCTCCGAGGGTCAGGGTCCAGGCTACCCACTGGAGGGTGGAGCGGAGAAGGAAGAGGGTGAACCAGACCGATTCGCTGAGAACGTCGGGGGAGCAGTGCGGAGGCTCTGCACCGGAGCGGGAGTCCTGGCGTGGGGTCCCGCGCGGAGGCGGGGGCAGGCGCTGAGGGGCGGGGCGGGGAGGGGCGGCCGTCTCGGCCCTCCCTGGTGGGGCCCCGCGGCCTGGGAGCCGGAGCGGGCCGAGCAGCCACCGCGGCCGGAGCTGTCCCCTAGCCAGACCCGGCGAGACGCGAGCGGCGGGAGGGAGGAGGTGGCGCGCCCGGCCCCGCCCGCCCGCAGGAGCGTCGGACGCGGCCCGGCGCCGAGCCATGGTGAGTCCAACGTCGCAGCCTCTAAGGCCCCTCGGCCTCTGCGAAGCCCGCTCCGGGTCCCCAGTCTCCTGCTTCCAGCGAATGCCTCTTGGAGTGTTCAACACTCCGGGGATTCTCCTTTCTCCCATCCCCCCTTCTTCGATCTGTCCATCCTGTCTGTCCCACTGGCTCTGTCTGCACCGGGTATTGCCCTCACCCTTTCTTTCTTCCTCCGCTCCTTCGCCTCCTCCCCCATCCTCCCTTCGGTCTCTCCCTAGCCCACACACCTCCCCTTCGCCCTCCGCTCTCCTCTGTCCTGACCTGTGCCTTCCTTTGCTGGATGTACCCTCCGCCTCCAGGTCCTAGTTTCTAACCTGTGAAAGACCACTGAGGGTTGGTCCAGTAGTGGCCCTAAAAGGGGCTCGGCCTCGGGTCATGAGAATTGACCCGACTGGAACCACCATTTTCCATCCCAGTCCCAACCCCGTGAGGCAGGCCCACCCATCCGGCCCTGGGGGAGCGACCACAGCTGTGGCTGGGCCGAGGCCAGGGGCATGGCCAAAGAGGGAAATTACCGCAGAGAAAAAGGGGATGCCTAAGAGTAATGGACGGTGGGGGAAGGTGATAACTGTACCAGGGGGCGTGTCGCTGCCAGAGATTTGGGGGTGGGGGAAATGTGCGCCAGACATCACGCTGCAGGGAACAGAAGCGCTCCTTCCTAACTCTTTCTGCAGAAGGGAATGGGCATGGGCAGGAGCTCCCTGCAGAGGGTTGGGGACCCTGACTGCAGCAACTCAGGGCACAGGAAGCAGGAGGGTGCTGTAAGAACAAGCCCACACCAACAGGAGTGAACACTGTCCTGGGAACTTTCACTCTAGAAGTACTCTCTAAATCATTTACAAGAGTGGGCACTGACAAGGAGAGCGCCCACTACAAGGGGGTCACGGCCAAGGGGGCGCTGGCTGCGAGGAGGAGGGGGAGAGGCCTTGCCAGGGGGCGCTCACTGCAGGGAGTGGAGGAGGGGCCGGAGCTTTACCGGGGCCGCTCCTCTTTGAAGGGAAGGGCACCCCCTGGCAGGAGGCTGGAGCAAGAAGAAAGAGGAACTGGGCCAGGGAGAGCTGACTCAGTCTCTCTGGTCTCCACTTTGGTCCTGGTCGGCAGGAGGCCCCGTCTCTGTGCTCCCACCCGCCGCCTCCCGCCCCAGACCCCTCCTCCCCTCCCGCCCCAGACCTCTCCTCCCCTCCTGCCGCTGCTGTTTCCTGTGGCTGAGACTCTCGCTCAGCCATGAGCTCACCGCCCCTAATGGGTTGCAGCTGCCTCGCTGCTCTAGCCCTAGCTCCCCTCCTCCCGGCCTTGGAGCCGACGGCCCACTCTGCCTCACCCCCGCCCTTCTCCACCTTCCCCCACCCACGCGCACAGCGCCCATCGGGTCTCGCGGGGTCCCGGGAACACTGGGGGTCTGTCTGTTCGCCCACACGCCTTGGGGCCGGGTCTGTGTGCTGACGCACTGAATGTCCATCTCTGAAGTGGCAGCCCTAGCTTCTCAAATGGGCAGCAGCTCTGGCTGGAGGAACTCAGAGAAAAATATGTACTTTTGTCGTGGGGCAAAGGCAGGGCATGAGAGGGAGGGGCTGGTAGAGAACTAGGTAAAGGCTGCATTGAGCATCCCCCTCCTCATTTACAGCAAAGAAATCTGGTAAAAGGCACTTCAAAGGCTATCTTGAAAGAGAAAAATATTGCAAAGGGATAGCCCAAGGGGTGATTGTTTAGGGTGTGGGATGGAGAAAGATGCCTCATTGATTCGCTTAGGGAGGCGGGTCTGGATGTAGCATGGCTGTGTCTTTTGAGAGGGCCGCTCCAGCTCGACATTGGCAGCTAAGAGTCCCACTGGAATCAGAAAAGATTTCAACCCAAATGCATACCATCAATGCCTCCTCCTCCCTTCCCCCACGTGTTCCTTTTGTGACTCTTTCATCTTTCAACTGCCCCCACCAGTTCTTTGTAACCCAATCCCATATGTTCTAGAATGGGTGATTGCTTTAGAGCCACTCTGGGAGAGGGAAGAGAGGTGCTAGAGAGTCCAAAAACAGTCTTTCATCCTCCTTCCCATTAAATGACCATCTTTAAGATATAGTTTTGGGTGGTGGCACCTCCACTTAAGATGGGGGTCTCTGGGTGGCTCAAGCAGCTAAGGGATGAGCCACATACACCGGAGCTGGCAGGTTCAAATCCAGCCCAGGCCTGCCAAACAATGATAACTACAACCAAAAAATAGGCATTGTGGTGGGCCTGTGTCCCAGTTACTCAGGAGGCTGAGGCAAGAGAATCACTTAAGCCCAGGAGTTTGAGGTTGCTGTGAGCTGTGATGCCAGGGCACTCTACCCAAGGTGATATAGCTTGAGACTCTGTCTCAAAAAAAAAAAAAAAAAAGATGGAGAGTCTCTGGATCAAGGGTCCTGTGAGAAGGGATCTGCAGGATGGCTGTGTGGAAGTCCCACCCATTCCCTCCAGAAGTCTCCACCATCAGCTCAGTTCTCTGAGGAGTCTGCCTCTTTTCTCTTGAGGAGAACCTATGCAATCACCCCAATTTGCAAACAGGAGGAACAGTTCTGATCAGAGGCATCCACAACTAATTCTCCCTGGATCTCTAAAGCCGGTCTCAGGGCTTGGAGTGTGGAGTGTCTGCTAGGCTTGTGCATTCTAACTGGCCCATTTCCACTCTTACCTGGACTTACTCAACCAGCATTTCACTGGTTGAGTAAGTATCCACTTTCTGCACACATTGTACAATCAGGGCTCTGGAGACACAGCCACCCCCAGACCAGTGCAGACCCCAATAAGCCATGCTTGTGTGATCCCTAGGGTTTTATATCCTTGTTCTTCCTTCCCAGGAGCCTGAGCCAGTAGAAGACTGTGTACAGAGCACACTCGCCGCTCTGTACCCTCCCTTTGAGGCCACAGCCCCCACCCTCTTGGGCCAGGTGTTCCAGGTGGTGGAGAGGACTTACCGGGAGGATGCACTGAGATACACGCTGGACTTCCTGGTACCCGCCAAGCACCTGCTTGCCAAGGTCCAACAGGAAGCCTGTGTGAGTGCCTGTGCATCCGTTCTCCACCTCCCCTAATATCTATCACCTCACTCTAAAGACAAGCCAGAGACACAGCTTCCTCTAATACTGATTCTCCCCCTCCCCGCCCTGAAGCACTTAAGCTTTATTCACTGTCCTTCCTCAAACTTTGACCTTCAGAGGCACTGACCACTCAGATACTAACACATATACACACACACTCATCTTCCCCAAATATTAACCCCTAGAAACATTGATCCTGACCCTCCAGACCCAATTCCAGACATTTTCCCTCTTATGAATTTCTCAAGATACTAACCCCCCTCCCAGATAGGATTCAACAGAGAGCCTTCACTTCTGCAGATATAAAGACCTCCTAAGAGTATTTGATTCCCCTAAGACAATACCATCTGCTGACCACATCTTTGTAATGATTCCATTCTTACCCTCCTACACATGGAACTAGCTTCCTAGAGAAGCTTCCTACCACCAGAAGACTGATTCATCCCAATTCCTTCCTTTGTGCCCATGAATACTCCAAGATCTACCCCACTGCTTCCTTGTGATTATAACCCCCAGGCATAAAGCCAGCCCTGCCTAGGTTGGGCCCATTCTAACTGCCTCCTCCTGCTGGTTTCTCAGGCAGAGACCTGAGTGCAGCCTCCCACATCTCTCCCCAGGCCCAATATAGTGGATTTCTCTTCTTCCATGAGGGCTGGCCCCTCTGCCTGCATGAGCAGGTGGTAGTACAGCTAGCAGCCCTACCCTGGCAGCTGCTGCGGCCGGGAGACTTCTACCTGCAAGTGGTGCCTTCAGCAGCCCAAGCACCCCGTCTGGCCCTCAAGTGTCTGGCCCCAGGGGGTGGGCGAGTACAGGAGCTTCCAGTGCCCAATGAGGCCTGTGCCTACCTATTCACACCTGAGTGGTTACAAGGCATCAACAAGGACCGGCCAACAGGCCGCCTCAGTACCTGCCTGCTGTCGGCACCCTCTGGGATTCAGCGACTGCCCTGGGCTGAGCTCATCTGCCCACGATTTGTGCACAAAGAGGGCCTCATGGTTGGTCATGGGCCAAGCACACTGACCCCAGAACTGCCCTCTGGACCCCCGGGGCTTCCCAGCCCTCCACTCCCCGAGGAGGCCCTGGGCACCCGGAGTCCTGGGGATGGGCACAATGCACCTGCTGAAGGACCTGAGGGCGAGTATGTGGAGCTGTTGGAGGTGACTCTGCCCATGAGGGGGACCCCGACAGATGCTGAGGGCTCCTCAGGCCTCTCGAGGACCCAGACAGTACCCACTCGAAAAGGTGCTGGAGGGAAGGGCCGGCACCGGAGACACCGGGCATGGATGCATCACAAGGGCCTGGGGCCACGGGATCAGGATGGAGCACGTCCACCCGGGGAGGGGAGCAGCACTGGAGCATCCCCTGGGTCTCCCTTGGGAGCTGAGGCTCTCCCAGAGGCAGTCCTGAAGGTGTCCGAGCCCCCAACAGAGGCCCTTGGAGAAGCCTCTGACTCTTGCCCCCTGAGAACAGGAGAGGTTGGAGTAGGAGCAGGACAGGGGGCTGAAGGTCCACCTGGTACCCCTCGGAGAACAGGCAAAGGAAACAGGAGAAAGAAGAGAGCAGCAGGCAGAGGCGCTCTTAGCCGAGGAGGGGACAGTACCCCACTGAGCCCTGGAGACAAGGAAGAGACCAGCCACCAGGAAGCCCTTGTCAATCTGCCCTCATCACATGAGCATGAGCTTCCAGAATGTAGCCTGTTTAAGGAGGAGCATGAAGGCTCTGGGAAGCCAGAATCTGAACCAAAAGAGGAGCTTGAACCAGCAGATGAAAAAGAGTCTCAGCCCCCTGAAGCCTGTAGGTCTACAGAAGAGGGAGCCGGAGAGAGAGAGCAGGAGAGGCCGAGCCTGGAATGTATAGCAGGTGAGATGGCACAGGCCAAGGAAGCAAGGGCCAGGGTAGGCTGGCCTGGGGGAGAGGGCTGGAGTAGGAGCAGGGGTTAGGCTGAGAATAGAATAGCCAGACGCATCCTCACTTTGGTCAAATGCTCTGCCTGTGTCTGTGCAGGACACATAGGTCCAGAGGGGCTCCTGTCCGACCCCCCAACAACACCCCTGGAGACTGTGCCGGAAGAAAGAGAGGATAGCATTCCAAAAGAGGCCCCTTCAGCCTCCATCTCTGATGACCCTGATGTAGCGTGGGACCTGATGGCATCTGGATTCCTCATCCTGACTGGTCAGTGGGCATCAGTGGGTAAAGGGGAAGGGATTGAGGTTGGATGGGCTTGGGGAGGGAGGCAGGGGGAAAGGGAGGTAGCCAAGGACTGCTCCCAGCCAGGACAGCCTGGCCATTTTGTGTCTTCAGGTGGGGTGGACCAGAGTGGGCGAGCTCTGCTGACCATTACCCCACCGTCTGCTCCTGAGGAGCCCCTACCCTCCCGAGACATGCTGAGCACTGCTCTTCATTACCTCCACTCACTGCTCAGGTAACTGAGACCCAGCACTGGCACCCTGGACACTAACCTTCTGAATCATAAGGACCCTGACCTCCTACTTCTCAAGACACTGACCTTCTGACCTCTAAGACACCTACTTCTTCAGCCTTCAGATTTTCAAGTCATTGACTTCTGACTTACTGATCCAGGATAATGTTTTCAGTGATCCTTAATATCAACGCTGTTGACTTTCAATATCCTATAACACTAGTTAGATTATCAAGACATTGGTTCACTCATTCAACAAATGTTTTGGGGTTTTTTTGGAGACAGAGTTTTACTTTGTCACCCTCAGTAGAGTGCCATGGTGTCATAGCTCACAGCAACCTCCAACTCTTGGGCTCAAGCGATTCTCTTGCCTCACCCTCCCTGGTAGCTGGGACAACAGGTGCCCACCACAATACCCGGCTATTTTGAGAGTCGGGGGTCTCACTCTAGCTCAGGCTGGTCTCGAACCTGTGAATTCAGGCAATCCACCCGCCTCGGCCTCCCAGGTGCTAGGATCATAGGCATAAGCCACTGCACCCAGCCCTCAACAAATATTTACTGAGTACCAAGTCCCTATTAAGCACCATACTATGGCTTAAGAGTGAATTTATCCCATCCAGAACATAGAATTCTTTTTCTTTTTTCACATGCAGAAAAGCCAAAGAACAGACTCGGCACCTATAGCTCAACCGGCTAAGGCGCCAGCCACGTACACCTAAGGTGGCGGGTTCGAATCCCCAGCCCGGACCTGCCAAACAACAATGACGGCTGCAACCAAAAAATAGCCGGGCGTTGTGGCGGGCGCCTGTAGTCCCAGCTACTTGGGAGGCGGAGGCAGGAGACTCGCTTAAGCCCAGGAGTTGGAGGTTGCTGTGAGCTGTAATGCCATGGCACTCTACCCAGGGGGACAGCTTGAGGCTCTGTCTCAAAAAAAAAAAAAAAAAAAAAGCCAAAGAACATAGGATTCTTAAATTTCCTAACTTCAATCCCTTGACTTGAGGGATTTAGGGTCATATAAATACAAACTACTGATGGCCAGGTCACTGCCTCTTGGACACATATCCCAGACTTTGGCCCCTTGCTCACTGCTCCTCAAATCTACCAAGAACTAACTTCTCCTAAAAACTGTTAACACTAAAACCAGACCTTGTATCTCTGCCCTGTCGTATCTGATATCCACTCAACACACATACATACACATGGCAGTCCCCTTGCTCTTCTTGCTCCCACAGGCCTGATCTACGAGTGTTGGGGCTATCCGTCCTGCTGGACCTTCGTAAGTCACCACCGCTGCCTCCAGCACTCCTTCCTGTCCTGAGTCAACTTCAGGTAACCAGTCCTTGAGATAGGCAGTTTTCCCAGACCCTAACTCTTCCCAAGTGGTCATTCCAGGCCCACAATTTAGGGTTATTCTTTGCCCTCAGGACTCAGGAGACCCTCCCCTCATTCAGCGGCTGCTGATTCTCACTCATCATGACCTTCCAACTGAACTCTGTGGATTTCAGGTTTGAGCTCTACACTCCCACTTAGTCCCCCATCAGTAGTGGAAAGAGGAGAAAAGGCTGGCCAGAGCTCTAGGCTGGTCTCTGAATCCATGGTATCCAAGCAGAAAACCTGCCTTTGTGTATCTACAGGGCGCTGAGTTGCTGTCAGAGAATGATCTGAAAAGAGTGGCCAAGCCAGAGGAGCTGCAGTGGGACTTAGGAGGTCACAGGGACCTATCTCCCAGCTACTGGGTAGAGATACACCAGGTAAGCTTCCTCTATGCTACCAAGAACACTGGGAACCAGGAATGACCCAGCTGAGGATTTTCTAGGAGTGAAGGCAGGTCGAAGACACAACATAGGGTTGCAAAAAAGTGGTTTCCATTCCATTCAAATTCAACAGTATTTATGGCTGACAAATCATGAGCAAACTGTTGTACACTGTGCCACAGGCTATTGGGGAGATGGGAGGAATATGTTAAGCAAATTCTTAATATGACAGTAAGTAGCGTATGATTTTTGGTGGCAGTTAAGTCATGGAACAACTAGAGAGCAATGCAAGATAGTGTCATTGGGTTTCTGGAAAGCACTGAGAACAAAAGATTGGTTCTTATTCCCTGTAACCCTGGACAAGTTATTTTATTCACTTCCAGAGATGGGGCCCTTTCTGTACCTTCTCCTTACACCAATGTCCAGGCAGCCCTCTAAGTCCTTATCAGCAAAGTGTAGCTAATTATGATATGATCTCTAAAAGTGCTTTCAGCACTTATCTTCCATGATTCTCTGAACCCTAGAGCACTGTGCATATTCAAGAAGAAAGGAATAAACATGATCTGAATATGAAGGGGGTCTGTAGCAGGGTCATAGAGCTTTCCCTTTTCTATCAAAGGGGAAGTAGATCTAAATAGGCAGGGTTGTGGGGGATGGGGTGGGGTTGACAGGGTAAAGTCCAGTGCAGACAGAGGGAAAGAAGGCTCACAGTTACCAAGCTGTACAATGTGCCAGGCCCAGGCTAGAGGCTGAGCTGGCACTCTTTCTTTAAGACTCACAACATCCTATTCTTATCCTGACTTTACAGTTGAGGAAACAGAGGTTCAGGAAGGTTTCTGAACCTGCCATATGTCGTAACAATAAATAAGCAACAAAGTAGGAACTGAACTCAACATTGCCTCCATAAAAGTCTCCCAGGTTGCCTTACCCACAGCCTATCCTAAATTCTGATCTTTAACTCTAACCTTGCCTGTGGGTTTCAGGAAGTGGTGAGGCTATGCCGTCTGTGCCGCGGTGTGCTGGGCTCTGTTCAGCAGGCCATCAAGGAGCTGGAGCGAGCAGTGGAGCCAGAGGGAGAGGTATGAAGAAAGAAGGAATAATAGGAGATGGAAGATGGGCCAGGGTGGGGACTCCCTGGTGGAACCTCAACTGCTCCCTATCCCCAGGAGGTGGAGGGAATGCCGGAGCCTCTGCAGAAGGTGCTGGCGGATCCCCGGCTGACAGCACTGCAGAGGGATGGGGGAGCCATCCTGATGAAGCTGCGCTCAACCCACAGCAGCAAGTATGAAGGACGGGTGTGCGGAGGCAGGTGGAAGTGGGAGGTGGAGTCACAGCCTGTGGCTGCCAACAAATTTTCGCTGCCAGATTATTCTTAACTGTGCATGTCTTTGATCAAATTATGCTTTACACTTGTTGTCTCACAACATCCCTGGGTGCTAGTTACCATTACAAATGAGGATGTGAGCTGGGTGTGGTGGCTCACGCCTGTAATCCTAGCACTCTGTGAGGCCAAGGCAGGTGGATTGCTTGAGCTCAGGAGTTTGAGATCAGCTTTAGTAAGAGTGAGACCTCCATCTCTTAAAAAAAAAAAAAAAAAATGCCAGGCATTGTGGTAGGCGCCTGTTGTCCCAGCTACTCAGGAGGCTGAGGCAAGAGAATCACTTGAGCCCAATAGTTTGAGGTTGCTATGACTTGACACCACGGCACTCTACTAAGAGTGACAAAGCGAGACTCTGTCTCAAAAAAAAATGAGTATGTGGAGGGTCAGAAATGTTAAACAGCTTGGCTAAGGTCAGTCAGTGAAGAGTTAGGATTCAAATCCAGGCAGTCGGAGTCAAGCCCATAGTCTGATTCATGATGCTATGCCACCTCTTATGCATCCCTTGGAGGGATGCAAGGACAGAACTAAGAGGTTCAGCAAAGGCAGTGGTTCATTCTGCCCCCCTCTTCCCCAGGCTGGAGGGCCCAGGCCCAGCTACACTATATCAGGAGGTGGATGAGGCCATTCACCAGCTCGTGCGCCTCTCCAACCTGCATGTACAGCAGCAGGAGCAGCGGCAGCGTCTGCACAGACTCCAGCAGGTAAGCCAGGACCCCTGGACGCTGTTTAGCCTGACAGCCAGATTTCAACACCTGTTTTCTGCTGATATTAGAGTCGATGGTGTTCTTCTAGCCTGGCATGGCCGAGTGCCCCTCCTCCCCTCCTCACCTCCCTTGGAGGTCAGTCGTGGTCAGTGTGAGGGTCAACAACATAATGGGAACCTCTCAGCACCAGCAAAGAAAATAAATCAGATCTCCTCCTCCCCACTGTTTATCCTTGATCAAGAATCCCTAGAGATGTTGAGAGATGCTTGGTTGTCCTAGGGGATTCTGGAAAGAGCTGATTGACTCTAGAGTACCTGCTTAGTTTAAAAACACTAAATGTGGGCTTGGTGCCCATATCTCAGTGGTTAGGGCACCAGCCGCATGCACCAGAGCTGGTGGGTTCGAACCCACCCTGGGCCTGCTAAATAATAATGACAAAAAAAAAAGTACTAAATGTATAATCCTAGCACTCTGGGGGGCCATGGAGCTCACTAGTTCAAGACCAGCCTCAGCAAAAGTAAGACCCCATCTCTGCTAACAAAAATAGAAAAACTGAGGCAAGAGGGTCACTTGAGCCGGAGCTAGAGGTTGCTGTGAGCTATGACACCATGGCACTCTACCTAAGGTGACAACTTGAGACTCTGTCTCAAAAAAAAAAAAATGCTAAATGTCTTGTGATATCTGTTAGCTACATCATCACACATGCTCCCTGACCTCCTTATGCAATGTTATCCCTCAAACCTTTGGCTGTAAAAGTCCCACTTTTCCCCCACCTTGGAAGGAGAGGGCACTGGAAGCCCCTGAGAAGAACCACAGGCCTCTTTAAAGGGAAGATTCAGAAATAAGGCTGGCTTCTCTCAACCTCGATTTTCTTCTCCTGGGTTTAAGAGCCCCTAAGGATTTGTTATCTACCTTCTGTGTAGAGTAGAGCAGTTTGAAATCTGATTGTTCCTCCTTATCCCCAAGCAGGGTGAGTGAGCACCTCTGTGCCTGCCTTCGTGTATCAGGGAAGGGTCATCACAGGGTCACTGCTAGAGGGGAGCCAGGACTTTCTGATTCCTCCACCCCAGTATCCAAGGGGTTGCAACTCCTACTTTTTTTTTTTTTTTTTTTGAGACAGAGCCTCAAGCTGTCCCCCTGGGTAGAGTGCTGTAGCATTACAGCTCACAGCAACCTCCAACTCCTGGGCTCAAGTGAGTCTCCTGCCTCCGCCTCCCAAGTAGCTGGGACCACAGGCGCCCACCACAACGCCCGGCTATTTTTTGGTTGCAGCCGTCATTGTTGTTTGGCGGGTCCGGGCTGGGGATTTGAACCCGCCACCTTAGGTGTACGTGGCTGGCGCCTTAGCCGGTTGAGCTATAGGTGCTGAGCCGCAACTCCTACTTTTCATTGGCTTGCCTGCTTATTAGCTGTTTCTCCCCGTGTGAAAACAGGATTTAGAATCTAAAGTGCTTAGCTTGAGTTCTTCTAGCTCTGCTATGTGTAAAATGCTGGATATGTCAGGATACTTCTCTGAGACACAAGTCCTCATCTGTAGAATGGGGGTGATGATAGTTACTTACAAGGCAGTTAGGAAAATGTATTCATCAATCCTCATCTGAATGGCACTGGCTCAGACTTCTCGTTCTTGGGCTATTACACCCCAGTTTCTAACCTTTCTTCAGAGGACAGAATGACTGTCCCTTTTTGGTCAAACATCTCAGAACCAGCCTGAGAGTTACTATGGCCTCATAATAGGGAGCTAGAGCTGGGCACACTTGCACATTCATGTGTCCACTTTCTGGACTATCTTTCCAGGCCTGGTTCCTCGGTCCCCTGCTCACCACTCACCAGGGCTCAGTGCGGGCCCTCAGGTTATAAAAATGACCTTCATCTTGCCTTTGGATCACACCAGTTTCATCTATTTCACACTCAGACATAGCCCTGGAACTCTAACCCACCCCCCTCACTGCTAGCCTAGCTTCCCCCTTGTCTGACACTTGACTAAAAACTTCTTATCCAGTTTCTCACTTGACCCTTGTGGAAACTATTATCACGCACTGTTGTCATTGCCCACATAGCAAATGAGATACAGTAGTTCACCCACATATTGGGGTGGTGCCTTTTCTCTTCATGGCCCCCTCCTCTCATACTCCATCTTCCTCAGGTGTTGCAGTGGCTGTCAGGCCCAGGGGAAGACCAGCTAGCGAGTTTCGCTGTGCCCGGGGACACCCTCTCTGCCCTGCAGGAGACAGAGCTTCGATTCCGGGCTTTCAGCACTGAGGTCCAGGTAAGAAGGGGAAGGGAGGGCAGGCACTGGAAGACAGGCAGGGGGAAACTACCTGGGAGTGAAGACCAGGTCTGAGCCCAGCTTCCTGCTCCAGGAGCGCCTAGCCCAAGCACAAGAAGCCCTGGCTCTGAAAGAGGATGCTGCCTCCCAGAAGGTTCTGGATATCTTTGAACACCGGCTAGAACAGGTCGAGAGTGGCCTCCATAGGGCCCTGCGTCTGCAGCGCTTCTTCCAGCAGGTGTGTGCAAAGCCTCTTCCTTCTGTACCCACCATTTCCATTTCTTTCCTCCCTTTCTGTCTGGAGATGTTAATCAGTTTAAAAGCAGGGATGCAGGATGCTGTCTCCTTGATTTTCAGTCTAGTTCTCCTGCCTCCTTGCTGAATGACCTGGGACAAGGTGTACCAAACTTGAGTGTGCTTCCTAGACCTACTTCACAAGACTACCTAAGGGATTATATGAGGCATTATGTAAAAGCACTTAGTACAGGGCCTGCCAAGTATAAACTTGATATAAGTATTAGCTGTTTTTATCTAGGCTACTCCGTCTCCATACCAACTCCAAATGACATGGATAGGCAGTGATGCTGGAATATAGAGGATGGGCAGGGTGATGGGCATTGGAAAGCCAAGGGCGAGAAGACAAGAGCTATAGTTGGGCAGGATCTGGGAATAGCCCAGATCCTCACCCTTTCTTTCCCATCCCAACCCTGTTGGCTTTGTAGGTACACGAGTGGGTGGATGAGGGCTTTGCTCGGCTGGCAGGAGCTGGGCCAGGTCGGGAGGCTGTCCTGGCAGCACTGGCCCTGCGGCGGGCCCCGGAGCCCAGCGCTGGCACCTTCCAGGAGATGAGGGCGCTAGCCCTGGATCTGGGCAGCCCAGCAGCCCTGCGAGAATGGGGCCGCTGCCGGGCCCGCTGCCAAGAGCTGGAGAGAAGGATTCAGCAACAGCTGGGAGAGGAGGCGAGTCCCCGGGGCCACAGGCGACGACGGGCAGACAGTGCCAGCAGTGGAGGGGCCCAGCGAGGTCCCCACAGCCCCTCACCCAGCCTGAGCTCCCTGCTGCTCCCTGGCAGCCCTGGACCACGGGCAGCCCCGTCCCATTGCTCCTTGGCCCCATGTGGAGAAGACTATGAGGAGGAGGGCCCTGAGCTGGCCCCAGAAGCAGATGGCCGGCCCCCAAGAGCAGTGCTGATCCGAGGCCTGGAGGTCACCAGTACTGAGGTGGTAGACAGGACGTGCTCACCAAGGGAACATGTGCTGCTGGGCCGGGCCGGGGGCCCAGATGGACCCTGGGGAGTAGGCACCCCCCGGATGGAGCGCAAGCGAAGCATCAGGTGAGAGCCCAGCCCAGTTGGTGCCCAAGAGGCAGATACACTGCTCAGCAGAAGAAGAATATGACAACTGTTGGGGGTGATGGCTCCCTCTTGTGCTCCAGGTGACACTCCCTTTGCCACTCCTGTTGTACCTACAGCGCCCAGCAGCGTCTGGTGTCTGAGCTGATTGCCTGTGAGCAGGAGTATGTGGCTACTTTGAGTGAGCCAGTGCCACCCCCTGGGCCTGAACTGACTCCTGAACTTCGTGGCACCTGGGCTGCTGCCCTGAGTGCCCGAGAGAGGCTTCGAAGCTTCCACCGGACACACTTTCTGCGGGAGCTTCAAGGCTGTGCCACCCACCCCCTGCGCATTGGGGCTTGCTTCCTTCGCCATGTGAGTGATCCTCTAAGACTTCTTCCAAGTCCTTGCCCTTCCCGGCCCTATCCATCCATCCCTCCCCTCAGTATCCCCTGCCCTCTACCCTATGTGTGGTCCGTGATTCAGGGATCCAGCCCTGTTCTGTGGGCCCCTCTGCCTCTCCTCAGCCTCTGTGTCCCTGCACACAAGCTGCCTGGACTTTACTCTATCCACAGAGAGAGTTCCTTCCCCAGTAGGCTGAGTGCTCCCTGATGACCTGTCCCTCCTTTGGGCTGTGGTGAGGCTGGGGAGGGGGAATGAGAGACGTCTGTCTACAGAGACTTCACCGGGGATGCCTTATCTCTCCCTACTGGCACAGGGGGACCAGTTCAGCCTTTACGCCCAGTATGTGAAGCACAGACACAAACTAGAGAATGGTCTGGCTGCGCTCAGCCCCCCGACCAAGGTAAACTTTTCTTCAACCCCCACGAGAAAAGAAGAGGGGCCAGGAAGACCAAAAACCCACCCAACTTCAAAATCCCTCAGGGGAAAAAAGCTTTCTTGGATGTTCCCAGGAACATCCTCCACTAATAACCTCCCAGAATTGCTGAGGGTGGGATGCACCCTGGACTGGGAACCAGGTGAGGCTGGGTTTTATCCAGTCTACCTGAGGGACCTCGAGCAAGACTTGATTCCTCTGAGCCTCTGTTTCTGTATCTGGTAAATAAGGGCAATGTTTGCTACCTCTAACTCACAGGAAGCTCTGAGGATCAAAATTGCTCACTCACATCAAAAGATGTACAAGTGACTTCAAAAGTTAAAAGCCAGAGAGTATAAGGGATTATTATTTGGACTTCTTTTCCATTTATCTTCAAGATAAAGAGGACAATTGTATCTCCTGCAGTTCCCCTCCCTGCTTTCTTTCCAGGGAGAAAGTTTTTCTGCTTTACTTCGGGAGTATCTGGGCTTCTCCTATACCCAAAAGCCTAATGTACCACTCGCCTTCCTTGCCCCTACAAGAGCTTGATCCTCAGACCCCCCCAGTCCTGCCCCTCATCTCTGTGCCTCTCCTTCCCAACCCAGGGCTCCCTGGAAGCCGGCCCTTACCTGCCCCGGGCCTTACAGCAGCCCCTGGAGCAGCTGGCTCGGTATGGGCGGCTCCTGGAGGACCTCCTAAGGGAAGCTGGGCCTGAGCCGAGTTCTGAGCGCCAGGCCCTTGGGGCTGCTGTGCAGCTGCTCCGGGAACAAGAGGCCCGTGGCAGAGACCTGCTGGCAGTGGAGGCGGTGCGTGGCTGTGAGGTGAGGCCATGACTCCAATCACTCCTGATCAAACTACTTAGCCCTGTGCCCTTGGAAGCAGTGTAGGCTGGTGATAAAAGAACCAGACTCCAGGTCAGAGGGCCCAGGCTCTAATTTCTGACCATCTAGGTGGCCTTGGTTAAGTCACCAAGCTTCACTGAGCCTCAGTTTCCTCATCGACAAATAAAAAAGCTATCTCTTGCCAATATCCCATGTTCCAACACCTACCTTGTGGTCTCTCCTATTCCTTTCCTACTTCTTTTTGTTTTTTTTTTTTTTGTTTGTTTGTTTGTTTTGTCTTGGGGGTGGGGACAGAGTCTCAAGCTGTTGCCCTGAGTAGAATGCCATGGCATCACAGCTCACAGCAACCTCAAACTCTTGGGCTTAAGCAGTTCTCTTGCCTCAGCCTCCCAAGTAGCTGGGACTACTGGCACCTGCCACAATGCCCGGCTATTTTATTTGTTGCAGTTGTCATTGTTGTTTTAGCTGGCCTGGGCCGGATTCAAACCTGCCAGCCTCAGTGTATGTGGCTGGCACCCTACCCACTGAGTCCGGGCACCACCTCCTTTCCTAATTCTTATCTTTCCCTATCTACCCTACACTTTCTCCTTAACATCCAAAATATTCCTTATTCTCTTCTACCTACTCTTTTTCCAGCCTGACGATCTAGAATAGGTTGGAATCCTGTATGGAATAGACCTACTTCCCCCACCTTCAGTTCTTTGCTGACTTTCATCCTGGGTCCCCGGCACATGAAGGCTTCCCTATAAGAGGGTATAAAGCCTACTGTGCAATACACCTTCCCTTCTTCAGAGGCAGGGCTGTGCAGCTAGACCAGATGTGCTGTGCATAGTGATCAGTGGTTGAATTTTCTGACTGCCTAAGAACCAGTGCATTAGGCCTCTTACCCTATAAATATATTTTCATTCCCCATAAAATAGGCAGAAAGGGCCCCTGGGCCAACCACCTTTCCTTTTCCTTTTCCCAGATAGATCTGAAGGAGCAAGGACAGCTGTTGCACCGGGACCCCTTCACTGTCATCTGCGGCCGAAAGAAGTGCCTTCGCCATGTCTTTCTCTTTGAGCATCTCCTCCTGTTCAGCAAGCTCAAGGGCCCTGAAGGGGGGTCAGAGACTTTTGTTTTCAAGCAGGCCTTTAAGGTACAATGCCTGGAGTGGGGAGGAGGGCAGGCAGTCGTGCTATTTTTGAGAACTCAGGATGTTCTGGAAATTCTGTCCCAATCCAAGTTCAGAATCTGCATCATCTAGAATAGGCTTTGGAGGCTGGGCTTGGTGGCCCACACCTATAATCCTAGCACTCTGGGAGGCCGAGGTGGGTGGATCTCCTGAGCACCCAGTTTCGAGACCAGCCTGAGCAAGAGTGACACCTCGTCTTTAAAAATAGCCGGGCATTGGCTCGGCGCCTATAGCTCAACCGGCTAAGGCGCCAGCCACGTACACCTAAGGTGGTGGGTTCGAATCCCCAGCCCGGACCCGCCAAAACAACAATGACGGCTGCAACCAAAAAACAGCCGGGCGTTGTGGCGGGCACCTGTGGTCCCAGCTACTTGGGAGGCAGAGGCAGGAGACTCACTTGAGCCCAGGAGTTGGAGGTTGCTGTGAGCTGTGATGCCACAGCACTCCACCCAGGGGGACAGGTTGAGGCTCTGTCTCAAAAAAAAAAAAAAAAAAAAAAATAGCCAGGCATTGTGGCGGGTGCCTGTAGTCCCAGCTACCTGGGAGGCTGAAGCAAGAGAACCACTTCAGAGCAAGAGTTTGAGGTTTCTATAAGCTATGACGCCATGGCACTCTACCGAGGGTGGCAAAGTAAAATCCTATCTCAAAAAAAAATAATAATAAATAGAACAAGCTTTGGCCTGTAATCAGTTGTCAAGTTAGAAAATGTTATAAGTCCCTGTCACTGATCTACCTCAGGGGGTTTCCTTATTGGTCATGCAAAACATTTATAAGGCATTCCAAGCCAGTCTGGAAGAGGACCATACCCATTAAGGACACAAATGCCTTTTGAGTTAGGGGGGTTACTGGTGCATGAGAAAAGACACTATATGTAGTATGTAGCTTACCTTGACTGAACTAAAGAGCCCAAGAAGAAGGTCTTTTAGGGAAATAAGCTTGGCGTTAAATGTTTATAGCAACCTCTGGTCCTGGATCAGACAGTGACAGGGATTCTAAGGGTTTCTAGACTTTGCCCCTTACACTAGTTCCAGCTCTTCATGGGGGGAGTATAGCATAGAGAAAAAAGCTTAGGTTTGGAGTAACATAGACATTGGTTCAAGCTCTGGCTGTAGTAAGCTATGATAAGCCCCTGGGCAAGTTGCTTTCTATCTCATTTCCCCTTCTGTAAATCATGGTTGTTACGAAGACTAAATGTAGAGCACTTTGCCCATGGGAGATGTTGAACAAACGTTTACTGAACATCTCCCAGATGCCGGGCTAAGCACAGAGCTTGCCCATGTGAGACCACTTAGGGCTCACTCCCACTTCCCCTATTCTTCTTCAGACTGCTGACATGGGGCTGACGGAAAACATTGGGGATAGTGGACTCTGCTTTGAGCTATGGTTTCGGCGGCGGCGTGCACGAGAGGCATACACTCTGCAGGCTACCTCACCAGAGATCAAACTCAAGTGGACAAGTTCCATTGCCCAGCTGCTATGGAGACAGGCAGCCCACAACAAGGGTACTGAGCAGAGCCAAGGGAGGATGTGCTTGGAATCAGGGCTATGGCAGGAAGTTTTCTGGAGAGCATGGAGACTGCTTGGGAAAATGGGGTTTAGGATAAAAAAGGAACAACTTACAAGATTCAAGATCTGACTTGAGAGAGAGAGAAAAGAGCCTAATGTGGCTGGGCATGGTAGCTCACACGTATAATCCTAGCACTGTGGGAGGCTAAAGCAAGTGGATCACCTGAGCTCAGGAGTTCAAGACCAGCCTGAGCAGGAGCAAGACCCCATCTCTACTAAAATTAGGAAAACTAGCTGGACATTATAGCAGGTTCCCATAGTCTTACTACTGGGGAGGCTGAAGCAAGAGGATCTCTTGAGCCTGAGTTTGAGGTTGCTGTGAGCTATGACAGCACAGCACTCCAGCCTGGGGCAACAGAGTGAGACTTTGTCTCAAAAAAAAAAAAAGATGCCTCAGCACCCATAGCACAGGGGTTACGGTGCCAGCCACATGCACCAAGGCTGGCAGGTTCAACCCAGCCCAGACTAGCTAAACAATGACAACTGCAACAAAAAAAATAGCTGGGCATTGTGGCTGGGCATTGTGGCTTCTTGGGAGGCTGAGGCAAGACAGTTGCTTAAACCCAAAAGTTTGAGGTTGCTGTGAGTTGTGATGTCACAGCATTCTAACGAGGGCAACATAGTGAGACTGTGTCTCAAAAAAAAAAAGAAAGAAGAAAAGAAATGTGTACAAGAAAAGAAATGGGCCTAATGTGTACAAATGAGAAAGAGAAAGCTAGTAAATTTCAGAGAGGAAGAAGAAAGTACTGGGTAAAAGAAGATAAGAAACTGCTCACTGGACTCAGGTTTATGAACTGGTGCCACTTACTTGCTGTGTGACCTGGACTCATTGTTTAGTGGTTGATTTGGTTTGGTTTTTGTTTTTTGGCTTATAGCTGGGTTTTGCTTTGGTTTTAATTCTCTGAATCTCGTTCTACTCACCAAAAAATTAAATAGTAATGTCTTCGTGTTAGTGTGATAGAGAGGATTAAATGAGGTTATGTATTTGTAAACTGTAAAGGTATGTAAAATTTTCAGTTTTGCTCTGAATGGCCAAGATACAAAGAAGAAGCTGAGTAGTGAAAGGGAAGTTGGCAGTTGGGATGCCCAATGGGCAGGATGTGCCATGTGGGAGAGAAGAGACAGATATCTGAAAAGGAAGTCAAACCATCATTACCACTCATGCTGTAACAGTTGACAGGAAGAGATACCAGAAGAATGAGGAAGGGATGAGATTTGGGAAAGAGCAGAAAAAAGAGTTAACCATGATGTGCTAGGGCTGGAGCAGAGGAGGGGCAAGAAAAGGTTGGTAACAGGGTCTCTGTTCCCTAGAGCTCCGAGTTCAGCAGATGGTCTCCATGGGCATTGGGAACAAACCCTTCCTGGACATCAAAGCCCTTGGGGAGCGGACACTGAGTGCCCTGCTCACTGGAAGAGGTGAGAGCCAGGGTGCTGGGGGATGGCCCCCAGAAGTCAAGACCTTGACAATGAAGATACATGGGGAGGTGTGGTAGAAAGTCAGGAAGAGTAATGAGTGGGCATTTCTACCCATAATCTATGGGACTGTCTGGGCAGCCCTCTGTGAGACTGAGGGTTGTTCCAGGGAACCAGGAGAACTTTTCCGCACCAGCACCCCACCACCCCACTCCCCACTCTCTGCAGCCGCCCGCACCCGGGCCTCCGTGGCCGTGTCATCCTTTGAGCATGCCGGCCCCTCCCTTCCCGGTCTCTCACCGGGAGCCTGTTCCCTGCCTGCCCGCGTCGAGGAGGAGGCCTGGGATCTGGACGTCAAGCAAATTTCCCTGGGTGAGGCACCTCGCAAGGGTGGCTCCCAGCATCTGGGTCATCGTGGTGATGTTCAGGCTGCTTGCTGCTGAGCAATTCCTTTTTCTAGCCAAGTAGCCCCGTTGCCATGACAACTATGTACAGCTTCCCCATTGCTAAAAGAGCCTTCCATCTGGTTGCTAGGGTGATGCTTACAACAGCCTGTTGCTAAGAAGCACTTCCTCTGTACCTCTCTCTCTCTCTCTCTCTCTCTCTCTCTCTCTCGCTCTCGCTCTCGCTCTCCTTGGGTTTCTATGGAAACTGCCTCAGCTTCCTGTTGTACCCTCCTGGTTCACCATGGCAATCCTTATAGTTTCCTGTCGCTTCTTCCCTGGTTGCTCTAATGATGCTGCTGACAATTTCCTGCCTCTTGGTAGGGGGGTTCTCTTGGAACTGGATTGCTATGGTGACTCACAGCTTCCTGTTGCTATGGAGCTTTCTCTTCCTTGACGGAGCAGCTTGGTTGCTTAAGGTAATCTGGAGAGGTTCTATACCCTGCTCTCACCCTAGCTTCCCCTTCAGCCCCAGAAACACTTGACTCTTCTGGAGATGTGTCCCCAGGACCAAGAAACAGCCCCAGCCTGCAACCCCCCCACCCTGGGAGCAGCACTCCCACTCTGGCCAGTGGAGGGATCTTAGGGCTATCCCGGCAGGTAAGTCCCTGCAGTAAGGCTGGGAATGGGGTGATCGCTTCAGCTACTTTCCTGGAGGGCTTTTCTGAATATTCAACCCATTGGACTGGGGTGGGGGTAGGAAGAAAGGAAACAATGATCTTGTGTATTGTCCAGTCTCCCTCTTTTCCTCCAGTCCTGGCTGAGAGGCATAAAGGTTAGCAGTGAAAAGGAATTTTTAATAAGGAGCACAGTGGATGGAAAGGAGAGAATGCCAATGGCCTGTTTTGGACTTGGGTTATAATAGCAAAATCCAAGAACTTTGGGGAGGAAAGAGAGATGAGTTGACAATCTTAGCAGAGAGAAGAAAGAGAGTAAGAGGGAGGATATGAATATATCCCTAAATTCACTGCAGTTTCTTTTCTTCAGACTCATGCCAGAGCTCTGAGTGACCCCACCACGCCTCTGTAACCTGGGTGAGTCCCAATACTTCTTTCCCCCTACATGTATCTTTCTCCCTCCTCCTCCTACATGTATCTTCCCAGATGAATGTATCTTTCTTCCTCCTCCCTTCCTTCCTTTATCCCTCTCCCAACCCATTTCCCTCTCCTCTCCTGCCTTCTAGAGAATATCCAGAACTTGGCTGCAACCCCTCCTCTCAGCATATTTTGGACTGGGATGACAATGGGACATAACAGAGGACTGGACAAGCACTGAATTTCTTCCCTCTGCTTCCCAGACATAGAGGAGATCTAAGGACCAGAGAGCATGACCCTGCTACTGCTGTCTCTAGTCTCTCCAGCTTGGTGCCTTCTCCTGCAGGAACCAGAATGGCCACATTGCTTGCCTTCACATCCTGGAGCCAGGGAAATTATCCCTTTCAGTCCTTTCCAATCCTCAAGCCAGCACTCTCATGCCAGCCCTCCCTGACAGCCTATGTTCTCTTCTTACCCCACCAACTCTCCCAGAGAACATTTATCTCTACCAGGTCAACTGGAGTTCCTGGTGACTCCATTCTGGGGTATCACTGGAAATGGGAGCTATGCAAACCATTACAGGAGGGTGGAGTAGGGAATTACAGACTTTATATATGTAATTACTGTTATTATAATACTATTGTTATATTAAATGTATTTACTCACACTTTGCCTCCAAGGAGCTACAGCAGTCCTCAGATAAAGGCGATCTGAATAACTTGAGCACTTCCCTGCAACTAAGTTTAGAACACAGATAATACAATCGAGACTGGCTCTGCGCCTGTGGCTCAAGTGGCTAAGGTGCCAGCCACATGCACCTAAGGTGGTGGGTTCGAATCCAGCCTGGGCCTGCCAAATAACAATGAGGCTGCAACCAAAAAACAGCTGGGAGTTGTGGCACCTGTGGTCCCAGCTACTTGGGAGGCAGAGGCAGGAGACTCGCTTGAGCCCAGGAGTTGGAGCTTGCTGTGAGCTGTGATGTCAGGGCCCTCTACCCAGGGGGCCAGCTTGAGGCTCTGCCTCAAAAAAAAAAAAATACAATCGAGACTGAAAGGTACCTTCTACCTCTTACTGACCCAAAGCTGACTATGAGCCTAGGAGAATGTGCCTCTTCCACAGTGGCTCCAAGAGGCTCAATGCACTCTTTGAAGTTCCTTCTCCCACACTGCACCCTCCTCTTGAGGCTGAGCTGGTCACAGACAAACTGGGCAAAATTGAGGCTCAAATTGAGGCTCTGGGGCCACAATGTATGCAAACTCCCCACGCCACTTGTTAAATGCTAATTCTTGGGCCATACCCGGAGCTACTGAATCATAAGACTGCAGATTCTGCATTTCTTATCAAACACTTTGGGTAGTGTCAGAAAAGGTGACTATTTCCTGGACAGAAGAGCCCAAGGAGGGAATTTGATAATAGACACCGGGCCTGTGCCTCAAGACACCTGTTTATTGGGGACACGACTCTGCGACAGGGATGACAGGAATCGTACCAAAAATAGCGACGTCTACAGGGCCCCTGATGGGGCAAGAAGGGTACAGTGCCCCCCACCCCCACCCCTCGTACAAAAATAAACTCTCACGCCTATGGACCAGCAAAGACTGGCAGACTGGCTCCTCACCAGGGACATAACCTCTGCCAGCCCTGGGACCCCGTTCTTTGACCCTCACCTCTGCCACTTCTAAGGCACTGTGACTCCCTTGGGCTGGGTGGGTACTGCCCGCCCACCCTCCTATGCCCACCGCCCCCTCCACCTCTGGTCCGCCTGGGGCTGGGATATGGGTCCCATGCTGCCCCCTGCTGGCTGCTCTACCCAACTACCTCTAGCGCTCCCCCGCTCCGGCGGGGTAAGCTCACTAAGCTAATCGCCCCTAGGAGGGCTCCCTACCGTTCTTGCCCTGCCAGCCCCGTCTCTCCCGATCTCGGCAGCCCGGGGCCCTCCTCCCCTTCCTGCAAAGGACTAGGAGGGGTCTCTCCTGATGGTGCCCGGGCATAGGGCGGGGATGCGTCAGCCTGGGGTGGTCGGCGGCCCCGAGCCCGGCGGCTGTGGTGCACTTGAAGGTGCAAGGCCATGAGCTCAGGGGCTCCAGTGGCAAAGGGGCAGAAAAGGCAGCGATGCAGGGCACCGCCCGGCCCGGCCTCGCCTCCTGGCCCAGCCCGCAGGGACAGGTCCAGGGGTTCGGCCTCACCGCCTCGCCCGTTGCGCAGGGTCCTCCCGGGACTGGCGGGTTTCCGACGGGACCCCGGCCCGGCACCGCTTGAAGGAGGCCGGGGACTTGCTGCACCCTCGACCCAGGTTGCAGGCTGTGGAGCCGATTTGGCTCCGGACGACGGGGCAGAACCCCGCTGGGAAGTAGGGGGTGGTTCTGGGGGTGGCCCGGGGCCTGCCCCGCTTCTCTGTTCCCGGTGGTGACGCTGTAGGTGATACTTGAGCGAGCCGGACTGGGTACCCGCGTAGTCGCAGTGCGGACACTTGTAAGGGCGCTCGCCTGGGAAAAGTGTGTGGATAGGGTCACGAGGTTGTGATCACTGCACATCCCCACCCACATTTCGCTCAATTTACAGACCTTATTCTCAGGACCAGGAAAACATACTGTCTCCCACTTAGATTTAAAATAAAGGGGGGTTTCTCACTGATCACCTCTGGCCAATCTGATGGCTTCCAAACAAAGGTTACCTTCCCATAGACCACACCTTTCTTCCTGTTCTCCAGGCCCTGCCCCGCCGGAGGCTGTCTCCCTCACCTGTGTGCACTCGCAGGTGTACTTTGAGGTGGTGAGCTGAGCGAAAAGATTTTCCGCAGAAGGGACAATCCTTGCCGGTGGCCCCCCGGCCTCCTTCAGGCCGGGTCCCTCCAACCAACAGCCCGTTCTCTTCTGCAATACACATGCCAAGAAGGAGTCAGAAGAGCCCTTCGTCCTCTCCTAGGCCACGCGCCCCACACCCAACCGACCACCCCCACGAAAGACTGCTTCCCCTAGGGAACACAGCAAGTTGAAGGGAGATTGAGGGGTTGAATTTTTAGTGTCCTCAGATAACAAAAATTCCAGGAAAAAAAAAAACCTCAGTAGAAATAAAAGGTCTTTTCTACAAGTAAGCTACAGCAGGGAAGTGGTTGGCATTAGTCAGCCAAGAACGAGGGATACCGGGAGAGAGAAGGGTCCCCACGTACCCTGCGTGGTGGTTGATCTTGCCTGGGCCCCCGCAGCGGGCGCAGAGTGCCCTGGCCCCTCGCCGGGGCGCGAGTGCAGAGAAGCCAGAGGGCCCAGCGACCTGCCCCGGGCCCAGGTCTCCTCCTCTGCCTCCACCACCTCCTCTTCCTCCTCCGGCTCCTCCGTGCGATGCCGGCGAGCCCGGGCCGGGAGAGCAGAGGGCAGTGGACGGAATCCTCCGAAGCTGCGGCCGGAGCCAGGCTCAGCGCCCTCGCCATTGGGCCGGCCTTCGCCAGCTCGTAGGCTCAGGTATCCCAAGAGGCTCGTGGGCTCACGGCGTTCAGCAGGGGTAGGCGCCGGCGCCAACAGGAGCGCTGGCCCCAAAGGCTCATAGGCCAGCAGACCCAGATCAGGAGGCTGGGGTGCCCGGGCCTGCCCCGAACCGGGGCCCGGGGCACGCAGTGGACCCAGCTTGCTGGCGTGCACCTTCATGTGGTTCTTAAGGAACCAGGGCTCCTTGAAGCAGCGGCCACACACAGGGCACGCATGATCAAAGGAAGCCTTGTGCTTACGCATGTGGCCCTTGAGAAACCAGGACTGTGTAAAGCTCTGGCCGCACACTTGACAGCGGAACTCCGGGGGCGCGGGAGGCTCCTCAGGAGTGGCAGGAGCGGGAGCCGGGGTAGCCTCATGTTCAGGCTCCGGCTCCAGCTCGGGGACCGATCTGGGTTCAGGCTGGGGTGGAGGCTGGGGTTGGGGCGCAGCGGAGGCGGCCGCCAGGGGGCGTTCGGGAGCCCCATGGGCCGTCAGGTTGTGGTGAAGCAGCTCCTCCTCCTGGCTGGAGCCGAAACTGCACAGGCTGCACTTCCAGGGCCTGTGCAGAATGTGCAGGTGTCGTTCGCGTTCCGCAGATGTTCGAAACTTGCCTTTGCAGTAGGGGCAACGGAAGGCGGACGAGGAAGGAGCCTGGGGCTGCGCTGAGCCCTCGGCGGCAGGGGGCGTCTGCATGGCCCCGGAGCTGCGCGCTCTCCCCAGTCGGGCCTCGCGCAGCAGGGCGCGCTCTTCCAACTCCAGCAGCAGGCGTGCGGCAGGGCTGCGCGGGCGTCCCGGCTGGTGCGTGCGCAGGTGCGAGCGCAGCAGAGCCCGCTGCGCTGCGCGGTGGCCGCAGTGCGGGCACTGGAAGGCCTGGGAGCCGGGGTGGGCCCGCAGGTGCAAAGCCAGAATGGAATTGAAGCGGAAGCGCTTCCCGCAGACTGGGCAAGGGAAGCGCCGTTCGCCCGTGCGACTCTCAGACCAGCTCACGGCTCCCATTCCCGGCGACCCCGAGCTCGCGCCTGGCCCGTTGGAGTAGCGCTGCAGATCCAGCTCACCGTCGAAAGCTGGCGGCGACGGCGCTGAGTGGCCGCCTGATGCACGGGGACGTGAGCCCTGTGGAGAAAGACGTGGACAGAGCAAAGGGTAGAGAATGGAGAACTGGGGAGAGGGGAAAGGTGACCAGAACACGATGGAAGATGGGCACGTGCCTGAACGACGACGAACAGCGTGTGCCGCTCACCTCGGGAAATTGGGGGATAGATGGGAATTGAGATGTTGGAGCCACAGAGCTACCGATGAGAGGTCAGAGAAAGAGATAGGCATGGGGAGGAAGCATGTAGTTTTAAGTACTTGTTGAGGCCAGAGCTTCACTCACCTCCATGGACCCCCTTCACATTCTTTGGTTCTGGGGAGTGCAGGGAAGAGGAGGAAAAGCTGCTAATGAAGGCAACAGGTTCTGAGGAGCTAAAGCAAGAGAGAGATAGATTTGAAGGAAAAGATGAGCCCTGATTTTCAGCAGTGCAAAAAATCACCCTCTACCCCAGCATCTTAGCACCCTGTGTTCCTAAAACCTATCCCTTCTCTCTACTTGCATCCTGAGGCACCGGGGCAGCTGTACTCAGAAACTGAATCCTTTGACTTGCCAAGCACACAAAGCTCCCTGATAACCCAGATTTCTTCCCCAAATAAGATGTTTTAAATGTCTGAGTCCAGAACCACTACCACTACCACCCCACTCCCTGGTGGTAGGGAAACCATCACAGTATAGCCCTCTCCCATTTGGGTTGTGTTGTACAGTATGATGAACAAATGAGGTGAGCCTGCCATGGTCCCCAGTTATCCAAGTATAGGACTAGTTGCTCTCAGCCCTCAACTGACCAGCCGGCCAAACATCCTTCCAGGTTCCACACTGCTTCCCTATGCCTTTCTGTCTTTTCCCCCCTCATTCTCCCTCCCTCCGCCTGGATTCCTGATCCATTCATTTCCATTCATTACAGAGACTCATTCATGCATGGGAGAGAAACACCTCCCAGCAGCCGAGTCTGAAGACAGACAGAGGGGGAGGGGCATGAAGGGGGAGAGAGCCAGAGGGAGAGGGAATGAAGAGAGAGTTGGGGGAGGAGTGGAAGTTAAGAGGCATGGCCAGCCTGGGGAAGGGGTTAAAAACTGCAAAAATTGTATAGGATTCATCCCCTTGTTTCAAACCTTGGAGCCTGCAGTATGATGGGGCATCTGAGCCCCTTTGTCCAGGGCTGTTCCGAGGCAGGCTTTCCTCCTCTCTGCAGGGGAGAGGCTCCCTCACACAAGAGGAGGATTACACTGGCTCTGAGCTCAAGAGCCTGGAGTGAGGGATGGGGGGCGGGGCTGGGCCATCTGCACAGATAGGGGCTCAGCACATGCTCTGAATAGGAAGGGGTTAAAATTCTCCAGGCAAAAATTCCCTAGGCCTGGGACGTGCAGACTACAGTGCTAAGGAAGGAAAAGAGCACTGAGAGGAAGAGTATGGGGTGGGGGGTGTTCCTGATTCTAAGCTGCAGAGGAGATCAGCCTTAGGACTTAGAAGCAACCCCAGAATTAAGATTCATGGAAATAGGCCTGAGAGGATGACCAGAAGTTGTCCAGGCTACCTTTTGGCCTCCATATAGGATTGTATCTGGTCAAGACTAGATGAATGTAGGCCTAACCTATTTTTTTACATAAGATAGAAAGAATATTTGAGATACAAAGAACTTCCTTACATTATGCATTATGAAACTGAAATGGGTTACTGAGAAAGAAAAGGATTCAAGAATTACTTAGCTTAAGAATCTTTAACAGAAGAGAACTGGGCCAAGAGTCAGCCCTGCTTATCAGGAGAGAAAAGGCTCTGGAGGTCCAACGCTTCCTTCATTTTTCAATATGTAGTGGATGTGGTAAGATTCCATAAAGGGGAAGGTACCTGTTACATGCAGAATCTGGGCTATGGTAGTATAATTAGCAAAAGATTAATTAACAAAGTGTTTTTGTCCAAGGGTCACTAGATGACCTCCACTACCATTTAATATGTTGTCTTTCTGTAGCTCCAAACTAGAGTACCCACTCTCATTCTCTGGATTGTCCAAATAAACTCCCTTCCTGGGAATGAGAGCCTTGCTGGGCTCACCAAATAGTTATAAAAGGTGAATTATAGGGCCTAGGGGTATAAGGCTATTGCGGACCCAGTCTAAGCATTAATAGCCCTACAGCCTTCAGTAAATCACTTAACTTACTAGTTTACTCATCTGTAAATAAAATAAGGGGTTTGGACTAATTTACCTTGTAAGTCCCTTCCAGCTAGAAGAAAAGTTTTGTGGTTCTGTGTCACAGGACTCTTCTGGACCCCAGAGAGATGTTAAAACAAATGGCCATTCCTTCAGTACCATGGAGAGTGCAGTGGGCTACCAGAGAAGCCACTTTGGCCACCTCAGTACCACAGATAGAGCTATGAAGAGCTAGAGGGGCCACGTTTGCCATTTTAGCATCACAGATAAAGTACTGAGAAAAGCTAAGGCTTTTTTGTTTTTTTTAATTCCTATCTGGGAACCATCGAAAAAAAACCCAGTGGTACCAGAGGGATTATTTTGGCCTTTGGATATCACTGAAAATAGACAGAGGTAATAGAAAATAGATGTAACTAGAAGAATTTTAATTAGCTATAAGGAGTGTCCTGACAGTCACAGTTTGTACATCCTGGAATGAGTTACTGAGGCATCATATTTGGGTCCATCACATTCTGTTGCTCTCCTGGGGATTCCCGGAACATCCTGGTGTACAGCCAATCTGGTATACTCAGAGGAAGCAGATGGCAGGGAGAGGGGGAGCTGGGAATACTGCATGGTCATAGCTGACTAACCTACGCACACATACTCTGATTCTGAGAAGATTCTAGGGCCCCTAAAACTGTCTATAGGATAGCAAGCAAAAGGCTTAATGGGGAGCTGGCCTTATATCCGAGATAGGACAAGTAGGAATAGGACAAAGCCCCCACTACCACCATCATCACCACAGAACAACAACAACAACAAATCCTCTTTTCACATAGCAAGTTCCAGGATGAAAAAATAGTAATATACAAGAAATTCCAAACTGAAGCTGAATTCCCCAGCAGGAAAAGTTTCCCCAGAAGATGGCCTAAAATCAACAAAACTCATTTGAGAGATTTTCCTAGGCTCAGTCAAAATCTGAATCCAGCAGGGCCTGTGGCTCAGTGAGTAGAGTGCTGGCCCCACATACCGAGGGTGGTGGGTTCAAACCCAGCCCTGGCCAAACTGCAACAGAAAAATTGCCAGGCGTTGTGGTGGGCACCTGTAGTCCCAGCTACTCCCGAGGATGAGGCAAGAGAATAGCCTAAACCCAAGAGCTGGAGGTTGCTGTGAGCTGTAATGCCATGGCACTCTACTGAGGGCAACAAAGTGAGACTCTTTCTCTTAAAAAAAGAAAAAAAAAAAAAAATCCTGAATCATCTTCATACCAAACCAGGTTCCAGGTGTCCGATCTTGTGATTTTTTTCTCAATAACGGAAAGCACTCACAGGGACTGAGATTATACAAACTGACTTGGAACCTAGGTCATGCATGTATTGGCAGAGGAAAATAATCAGTTTTCTATAGTCGGCCCTTAAACACCACCACGAGACTTGGCTAGATAGTAGCACTAACCTACTTTCCACCTCCGCTGGGAATCAGGGGTTATTTTGCCCTTATTTAGATTCCATAGGGATGCAGGGTCCGGGATAGGGATCAGAAATCTTTCAAAAGCAACAGGCCAATTATCCTTACATACTAAAATAGCACTGGTGGGGAAGGGGATGTGGACCACCAAACCTTACTGAGTAGGGAATGATGGAATGGTTGGGAAAAAGATTTAGAAACAACTGTACATAGAAGCATCTGCTAACAGACACAAAGATTGTTCTTCAAGCCTTATGCTTCAAAAACGTTTAAGCTCAAAGTGAAAGGGGCAGAGGCTCGGGACTTCTGGGGTCTGACTACAACTAGGTCTCTGTCTCTGGTCATTTTTAATACTTGATGTTTTACCCTTTGTTGAAAAACCTATGCCTCCCAAGTCCGCTAACAATTATGATTGCCACTGAAGTAGATGGGGTAAAAAGGAAAGAGAACTTCTTAGGTGGTCTAGAGTCAAGACTACCTTCATCACACAGAAAAAGTTGTTCACTTTTATGGTCTCTTCTTCATGGCCCTTTGCACCTCACTGCTCAGATATCTTCTCCAAACCCACCATATTCCACAGCTTGCCTGCATTTTATACCTAGTTCTTAGTAAACCTTCCTTCCGCCACTCATTCTCTTGAGTTGGGAGCATGGAACTTCAGTCATAAACTCCACAGACAGCAGGAAGGCAAAGGAAAGAAAGTACACCTGCTCACCTGGTGCCAACCCACCATGGTGAATCTTATCTCAGAGGCATGTCCTAACATGACCCCAATTCTGAAAGTTCTAGAGGGCCTGGATTGGGGGAGGGGGCCATGTTGCCAGCCCTAACTCCCCTTAACTGGAGCTGACCCTAGAAAAGTCAGTCTTGGCACCCATAGGAGCTTCATTCCTTAGACTGGGAAGTTGGGGGGAGGGGGGTGGGCAAGAGAGACTCTGGGAAAATCCCCCTCCTACAAATAGGTTGGCAAGTAGGGTAGGACCTACGATTCCACCTGAGAGGTTTTCCCAGCAGCACCTCGGACCCCTCCGGGGAAGATAAACCAGAAGGATGATAGGGGGCAGGGTTGGGAGATAGGGAGGCCAGGGCTCAGCTACCCCTGGCCAGGAGAACAAAAGCTGAGTTACAGCCGCCTCCGCTGCTGCCGCCGGCCGAGCTCTTTGTGACACTTTGTTTGGGACTCAGAGAGGGAAGCACCCCCCATCCTTTCCCCTCCTCCCACCCCCCCGCCGTGCTCCCGGAGAGTTTGGGTTCCTTCTCCCTCCCCCACCAGCCCTACCTGGGCTAGGGGGTGCGCATCCAGTCAGGCTGGAGCCTCAGCCGCCCCGCACCCCCCAGGCCCCTCGCGCCCTGCCTTCGGGCCCCTACAAAGACACTCACCACCCCCGCCCCCACCCCGGTTGGCCCTTCCCCTTTGGTGTCCGCTCCCCCAGCTCTTCCACCTGGCCCCCCCTCTCTCGGGCCCCCCCTAGCTCTCCAGGCTTGGTATACTCAGAGGAAGCAGATGGCAGGGAGAGG